TAAAAAGTAACTTGCATTTAATTTCAGTGGGAACAGTGTTGTTGGTCACCCTTTTTAACCAGTGCGTCAACGTTTGGTGTCAGTTTGGTTGTGGCAATTCTCGAACAGACCTGAGGTGTTCATCAGATCAGATACACGGTATTTTTTTGTCGCATTAATGCATATTTTATCGTGCACTTACTTATTAAGCAGTCATTTTTGACACAGCGTTTTTAGTGTAAAGGTTAATAACTGTGGTCTTTTTAGCTGTTTGATTCTTTGACCGGATCATACAAATATTTGACTGTCACATCACACATTATCAGAGTTCTGCTCTGTAATGTCTTTCCTTGTCTCTCCCCCCTGTGTCACGGTGTGGGTACATCTCTGTGGCATCAGGAAACCTTTATTAATCAGAATACCTTTATTTTATTGGCTAAACTGCATCACGTGACGTGATTTACAACGCATTGGTCGGTGTTTTTCCTGCACCGCTGAACAAGTGCCGTAAATGCTGGAAAGGAGCGTGAATAACTCCGCTGCATAAAGCAAACCCCCGCAACCCACTGATAACGGGTCCGCGACGAACCACCAGTTGAGAATCACTGGTCTGCAGGATCATGACGAGTGGTGAACAGCTGTTTGTCTGGCGTGTCTTCCGTCTCTTCCCGTTTCCTTCACCTACATTCCCCTGGGTCCTAAGCCCCTCCCTGTACAGCTTCTTATCACCTCTTTGCACCAATGTACATTTATAACAAATACCACACATATTACACGGTAATCAGCGTTACATATGTGTCAAACTCTATCGGTGCATCTCCAGTCTGTCTTTGTTCATCCTGCATCGCTCTGTTCTGTTCTTTAATGTAACGTAACTGGAGCGACGGAGCCTCTCCAAGCTGTTAGCAGACTGTTGTGCTAGCAAGCAGCTGTACGCAAGCTGTACCCAGTATGCAGTTCGGCGGTGAAATTTTATAAATGTACAATTATTAGTGTTACAAATTGTTTATGTGTCACAGACTGTTGTGTGTTGTTGTGTTTTTCTCTGTTAAAGAGCGTTAGTTGTGGGTTGTTAATTGTTGTGTTATAAAGTTATGACCATGACTAGGGTTCCCTCTCAATACATATAAGAGAACTAGCGCTGACCACTGTGCAAAAGCGGCAAAAAAAACATTTAGCTGCCTGTTGAAGGCAGGCAGCAGTTGTTTCGGCAATGCACCGGTATAATGGTGTGTGAAGAATTCATATCATATGGGAAATTAAAACCGGTATACTGCCCAGCCCTAGTCTTTATTATAGTTTGGACAATTTTGTACCAAAATTTGATGGGCCGGATTAAAAAGCCCAAATGGGCCGTATCCGGCCCGCGGGCCGTAGTTTGCCCATGCCTGTTCTAACCAGTCTGAAGTCAGTACCATGAAAAATGGTAAAACTGAGCAAATCAGTTGGTTGGATCATTTGTTACTCTTTTAGATTTGCTCTAAATCAACTTTACTACCAACCCAAATACATGATTATATCCCTTAACTATTTTAAATGTTTACCTCAACTCCAGATGAATTCTTCATGAAAATATACAGGTGCTTCAAACACACGAGTTAGTTTAAGTAAAGTTTTTGAAGGGTGTATTCATGGACTTTATTATTGATTACGAGTTTGTTTTTTAAATGTGCTTTTGTGCAGGCACAAGAAAAACCGTATGATGACGGAGAGTATATTAAAGCTGGACTGCAGTTAATTATTAAAGGTATTGTAACCAAGTGGAACTGACGGGGTGAAACTATTGGGTCCGCCGGACCGGTAATGGGGTGCACGGGCCCTGATTAGGTGAAAAGATGCACCTGCTGGCAAAACGCGTCCTTTCTTTCTCTCCGCCGTCACGAGCGGGCGGGTGTGCTGAATCTGCTCTCTGTCTCCGCCGCCACGAGCGGGGGTGCCGAGTCCATCTACTTTCTCTCCCGCAACAAGTGCGTGAGGCCACATGATAAGTTGTGTCGTAGCGCAGTGTCTGGGAGGCATCTTGTACGGAGGGGACAGCGTGTGTTTTGGGGGATGGCTGCTTCAGGTATATATATTTATAGTGAATGGTTTTTCTTTATGTATTTCGTGTGCTGGGGAAATTGGGTACAATTAAGAAATATGTAATGTTGTATTTGTGTTTTTTTAGAGCTTCCTGAGCAGTGCACCTGTGAGGAATTTAAGTTTTAAAGCTCCTAATTATGGATATAATGTGTGGTGGAAAATTTCTAGGTTAATCGGGAGGAGAGAGTTTTTGTTCACAAATCAATAATGAAGTCATCAGAAGATTCAAAGTTGTCTTTTTCCATTTATTCTCTTGCAAGAGGGAAGAAAGCACAGCAACTACGTATTCAGTAGACTGCGTGAATGCTTCTACGAAATGCAATATTCAACATCATTTATGCATACAAAGGTTCACGCCTTTACAACTTCAGATAATGCGTCAAAAGGGGAGTATGATATTTCAGACACAGGCTGTCGATTCCTGCGGACATTCATTTCTGGAGTCAAGGTCTCTCTGTGTCTTTGTCTTACCAACAAAGAAACAGTGTCTCTTCACTTCTAACCCTTGTGGGAAAAGATAACAAGACACCTGGATACAAAATTTATTAAAATCATCTGCAGAAACTGCTGTTCTGTGTCTGCCTGTGTTCCTCACTTTCAGTTGTACATTCTCTAAAACTTCACATGATACTACATGTATCAATGTAGTATTACAAATGTGATACAGTATATTTACTTGTAAGAATCTGGTCAGTTCATGCATTAAGTGTCTGTGAGAGGGTGTTTGAGGAATGTGCTGGAGTGGGGTTGTGTGAAAGTGGCTGCTTCAGGTGTGAAGTTTAGGACAATGGATCAACAGCCCAGGAGGGGCTTGTTGGACTTCAGCCAATCAATGAGCTGATCAATGAGCTGAGGAATGTAAGTTTGGGGGACAAAGGGTTTGAAGCGCTGGGGGATTTCAGATCTTCTGCTGGCCACCGAGGAGGGCATACCAGCCTCCTGGGTGGCTCGGATTGGATCTCACATTTCATAGAATTTATATGTTTGTTTTGTTATTAGTGGTGTGATTCGGTTTGTAACTGTTTGTATCTGTTTTTATGCTTCTTGGATAATTAATCCATTTGATTTTTACTTTAACCTGCTGTTGTGTTTTGGAGGCGATTGAGAGAACATGGCTGCAAGGGGAGGGGGGGTGGGATTTCTCCCTGTGTCCAGAAGTTATGGCCATAACAAATTTGGCAAACCAACGAAGGGACTTGACAAACTCTAAGATGGGGATGTGGAACCGCGGACACTTTCAGAGACAAAAGGTGAGCAGAGCCGTTTTAATAAAAATCTGTATAAGTAGACTATAGGAACCTTGGCCGAAAGTGTTCACGGACCACATGGTCCCTGAAGGCCTCATCTGGTCACGGGGAGAGACCGCACAGGTTACTGAAGCTGGAAAAGTGCATTCTCCTGAAATTTGAGGTAAATCAGGAAGGTACAGGAAGACAGTTACAAACTGAATACTAGTATGTGATGTTTAATTTGGTAATCTAAACAAGGTGGTTTGGTGAGTGGTATCTCTGCATGGTGATATTTGAATGAGTGGCTAAAAGTTAGAGGCGAAATGTTTAATTTGTCTGGATTACTTTGTGAATACTGGTGAATCTTCCAGAATTCTCAACACCATTATGTGAAATACCATGTAGTTCTTCAGCACCACTCAATGAAGCATCCCGTATGCTTTGAAAAAATAAGAAATGTCACTGAAAACCAAAGTTTCAAAGTTAACCAAAATTTTTTTTAAATTGATGGAACAAACTCACAAGAACCAGTCACATATATTTATATGACAACAAAGCAACAAATCAATCCCTCACAAACAACAGCCTTGATTACCGATCGGCTACCAGGTTAATTCAACATGGACAACTGATTACAGGTGTTACTGACCGTGTTGTCTTTACTAGCAGCTGTTGTCCAGTAAAAAGTCTGCATTATTACGGAGGAAGCAGCTGTTATTGGAGCGATTAGCAAGCGACGTGACCAGCGGCGTTATCAAGCCTACGGAGCGGACGTCTGAAGTCACGGTTAGCGGCTTTCGGGAGGGTGATGGACACAAAATGGAGGACTTTCCTGTCCTTATTAATGCTTATTTTGTTCTGCGCAACTATTGTGAAGTTCGCAGATAAAATGTAAGGGAACAAAACATGAATTGCTCTCCAGAAGGACAGAGACTTCAGACACCAGCAGAGCTACAGGTGAGAACAGACAACAACGAAACTGAGGAAATGAGTGAGAGATGTGTGTTGACCATTTATGGACCCATAATCTAGTAAACTTGTATGTATAATGTTCCTGAAAGATCCAGAGAAAGTAAGAAAAGCTTACCCGAGCCAACAACCAAATAAAACAGCCCGTGCTGGAAAAAACAAAACAAAATGGAACTTTAAACTATTTTCTGATCAAAAAGCAGCTTTAAAGTTAAAAACTTTAAGCAATTACAGACAAAGATAATACTAGAAACACAGTTAAAAAATGTAACAATCACTAGATTTTTACCAACCACAGCTGAGCTTAACAGACACGTAAAAGGTAAGAGTAAAAGTTTCTGTAAGGAAGGAGTTGTCAAAGTTTTTATTTTTTTAAGTGATGGTCCTTTAGCTGTGTTAACACACAGTTTGGAATTGTAGTTAATACAAGGTAACAAGATTACAGTAATCAATTACAAAACAAACTTCAGCATCAGCAATTTTTAGCAAGCATTCACTGGATTTGGAACATTTTGGGTGAAATTGTGTCTTTGACACTCTTCTCACTCTGTTTATTGAAAGTTATGACAGGACAGTCCTTACATAACAGTCCTTACCCTGTAACTAAAAGTAATCTCATTACTTGACACTGTTTTTCCTCATCAAGTACATATTTTGATTTAAGCATTTTGATAACCTTTTATGAGCAATCTTCTCAACTTTGTTTCAAATAAAGATCACCTTCACACAGTAAAAAACAATTCAATTCACCTGTCAAAGAAAATGTGTTGTATCTTTTAACAACTTCTTCAAGATCATTTTGTCACAATCTCTTCTTAAAAAAATCAATGTCAAAATTCAAATTGTCCAAATTTTAACATTGCCCATCTCAGGGATTTGTCCCTCCTCCATTCTCCTCTCTCTATTCTAAGCTCCACCCCCTCCGGCTGGATGATTGACTGTGGTTTACGGGGCAACATAAATCCTGTTAAATATCCATCTGTCCTGACCTGCTCTCTGCTCACTCTGACTGAGAGTGCGAGCAATATGGCAAAATGGTCCAAGTAAACCCTCAGCCTCTCCACGTATTTTTTACATGTTCTACTGGTGTCCCGCCTCCTCAGCAGCCTGAGTCCTCACTGCCGGTGCCTCGTTCTCCGGACTTGGCAGTGGCTGTGGCAACAGCTATCTGGCAGCCATTGATGATGTGACTCCTGACCTTCTGTTTGAGCTGCGTGACCTGCTCCCGTAGCATGATGGCGGTAGAGGACAAGTCCAAGTTCTGGTTCTTCAGAACCTTCACCTTCTCCTCCAGCCGCGAGATACGCTCCAGCTTTCGTTTACGGCACTTGGATGCGGCGATACGGTTGCGGAGCTTCTTGCGTTCTGCTTTGATTCGCTCCTGTGTCTCCAGGTCAATCAGGGAGAGGGAGGGTGGGGACATGGGGTCGACCGGCAGGTGAGGCGCCTCAGGGACGGTCTGAGGGGCGTCAAGGCCTCGGGTGTGGGGTTGAGGGGCTCCACCGCCGCCTTGGCCTGAGCCACTACCGTATGCCATCTGCCCTCCAGGGTACGGCATATGGCCCGGATTGTAGCTGCTAAGATTGGTGTAGATGGGCATGTCTCCTCCGGACATCAGGTTCCTCTGGTAGGATGCCTGCAGGGACACGGTGGAGGGCGAGGATGGTGACATGTGGCCGCCTCCCACAAGCTGGTTCTGCTTGTGAAGGTCGGCGAGTGCTTTGACAAAGCCATCAGCAAATCCTTCTTGCTCGTTGGTGGCCTGGTTGCGGTAGATGAAGGGATTGCTACAGTTTGACACAGGGCTGGTGGTGACCAATCCCTGATTGGACTGGATGATTAGGTGCTCCAGGTCGGGGGACGCCAGCTTTAACAAGTTCATGTCCGCTGAGGGCACCACTGATGTCATTAAAGAGATATTGCCGGTGAGCCCCACATTGTGGTGGTTCCCAACTCTCCCTCCTGCTGCTCCACCGCTGGGGAAGGGATGACTGCCCACCATTGACATGGCCTTCTTACTCATCAGTATCTTGTTTCCGGGGTAACGGTCATATTCTGTGGTCTGGCTGAAGCCAGGGACGGTTGGGGAGTCGTCGTGGTAGAAAGGAGTCTCCATCTTGGCCGTCATTGATGAAGAAGAGTCTCAAAGGAAATTTTCATAATCAGATTAACTTAAATATCAGACGGGATTGAAACGTTCCACTGACGTCGGCGGCTGGAGGATATAGGCAAGACGAATAGAAGAGAAGGCCAGTGCCTGCAGGAAAACAAACATGTCTGTCAGAGGGAGAGGAGGACAAAGAGGACGGAAAGATTACTGAGGTGTAAACTGGGAGGTGGTGGTGACATGTTTAATGCTACTGATGAATGTCTCTGTGTGTTTCTGTTCATGTTTTGTTTTATTTACAGAGATGAGATTGAAGTCAAATATCCAGCTCTGACCTTTGTTGTGATGTAATGTAGTCTCTGCTCTTTTAACTCTCAGGTTAAAGGTTAGGTTCAAGAGTAACAGTGCTAGCGACTACACCACCTATTTATCGTTTGAGTTAAACAGTAAATATTTCCAATAAAATTTTCGAATGAGCTTCCGTCATGGATGTTCACTGAGGGCTATTGTGCGAAATAAAACTTTTGTATAAGTCTACACCTCTTGGGCAATTTGAGGTTCAGTGGTTTGCTCAAGGGCACCTTGACATGTGGACAGGAGGACCTATTCAACCACCTGAGCTACAGCAGCAACGTTCAGAAATCGTTTCATAAACCGTCTCCATTGTTGCCACATGATCAATATGATTTTTTTTGTGACTATATCTACTACAGGACTGATACAAAAAACATTTGTTATCATCATTATTATTTTATAAGTAGTAATATATATATAATATTATCGTCAAGTATCCAGTTCATCGTATATATGTCTGAAATATATAATCAATATAGAATTCAGTGATGGAACTTAATAGTACTTAATACATTTACTTAAAGGCCTTGAAAATATTCAATATGAAATATATTATAAAGTACCAGGTTGGGTTTTCTTGTAAACGAATAATTGTTATATTTACATGCTGCAATTGTCACTGAAACAATATGTGTATCCAAACATTTAAAAATATATTTTAAAATGTGCAGTATTTACATCCATGTTTACTAGCTGTTTCCTGTGGTTTGATTACATTTGATTGACAGTGGTCTGGCAACATGAGCAAACAATTCCCCATGATAGTATCATAAAAAGGGAATTTTGTATTAAAAAGAAATTGGAAGATATCCAATTGATTTCTCTAACTCGTGGAATTTTACACAAAATCAGGACTGTGGATTTTGTCCCCCATCACTTTTCACAAATTGCAATAAGAAGGAATCTCTCTGTGGTCAGTACGAACATTTACAGTGACCAAAAACTATTTAAATGTGTGTGTCAATATTGTTTTGAGACAGATTTGAAAAAAAGTATGAACCTAACCTTTAACCTGAGAGTTAAAAGAGCAGAGACTACATTACATCACAACAAAGGCATCAAGTAACAAAAGTGACCATGAGATGCATAAGAATCTGAGTCACCTTGCACATTCACAAAAATGGCTTATCACTCATATTTAGGAGAGAATGATGGATATTTTACCGTGCAAGCAGTCAAAAACCAGGTTGAAGTTAGTCTACCAGTTCCATTAAGGTGAACTGAACTAACGAACATCCAGCTTGTCTGTTTCTATCAATGATCAGTGAATGACAGTAACAGTGATAGCTTCCCTGTAGATTAAGAATCAGACAGTGGAAACAGTAACATTCACTGTGATAACCTCTCAGTAATGAAGCTGTTACAGTTTGATCGTTCTACTCCTCTAATCTGTCAGGACTCTCTTTAAACACATTAATGTTTCCGGTAGAGCCGTTAACTTCAGACCGGTAGAAAACAGCGCGAGGCAGCGCTGCTGTATCTGATGGATTAACACAATCATCCAACGAACCAACACAGCAAATTGTTCCATCTGAAACAGTGGTATTAAAAATAACTGAACTGACTGGGAGTTATTCGAAGGTTATACTCACAGAAAGAAGCACAGAGCTGCTGAACAATCCGAGAACAGGCACTCACTGCCTGCCTTCTCTCTCTCTCTCTCTCTCTCTCTCTCTCTCTCTCTCTCTCTCTCTCAAATTTTTTTTTTTTTTTCAATTCAAATTTGCTTTATTGGCATGAACGTTTAGAAACGGTATTGCCAAAGCATCAAAAAATTAAACATACAATTATATCAATACACAGTAACATTAATACACAATAACGTCTCTCTCTCTCTCAGTGATGGTAATAATAATAATCTTTGATGATTTGATAATTCATTTTTTTTGTTTTTTACATTTTCATTAATTTGTTTGTTTTGTTTTATTCACACATTGAATGACGACCCTGCTCTACCACTGCACTTGCAAGGCAGAGTTAGTTGCTATCTCATCAAAATGTAAATCATACTGGAAAGAGAACCAGGTATGCAAACACTAATCAGCATCTGAGCCCCACATGACAGTAACTTTATTTGCTATTCAAGCTAACAATAGAGTAACTAAACCCCCAAAGCAATTCAGGTAAACAACTAATATATATAAGGATTGAGGTCCTTATCTTAACATTTTAGAGCAAAGTATTTAAATTCTACATATCGTGTTATAAATATGCATAGCCCTCTACTGCCCTCTACTGGTGGAAACCCAGCTTTTGTAATTGGAATACAATATTGGGCCGATCCGGAGCCAGGTGAAGTTTTTGAAGGATAAAATCCTTACAAAGGTTAGAAAAAACTATATGCAAAACACAAACCTCAAATTTGGATAGAATACAGTCAAAAATGTATGAATCCGTCACAAATGGCACAATGTCAGTAGACTGTGTCTGCGTGTCAGAGGATCAAAGTTTGAGATACATGTATGAAACTCTCTAGGAACATGTAGAGACTTAAAAAAACTCAAAGTTTGTTGTTTCGTGAAAGGCCGTTGCTGTGGCGATGCATTCTTCGCCGTGAAAACCGAAGGTGCTTTTGAGGGGCTAAAAATGCTCGAAACATAAGCGAACATGGCACACACATTTAAAGCCGAAAATGTAGTTACATATTTTGGTTTTAATGCTTCAGAATGGCAAGTCGGCTCGATAGCGCCCCCTACACAATTTCGACGAAGCAGCCCTCGCATTACGTTTCACGTAGATTTACAAAATTTGGTAGTCACATGTATCACATGTCGACATAAATAAAAGTCTATTGGGGCCATGCTCTAGACCCAACCGGAAGTCAGCCATTTTGAATTTTGTATGAATTTCTAGTGTCATTTTTTTCCATTTCCAGGCGCTGTACTTTAACGAACTCTTCCTAGGGAAATAATCAAATTAACTTCTAATTAGGTCAGCAAAATCTAAATCTTGTTGTTTCGTGAAAGACTTGCCATGGCAGTCTTCGCCATGAAAAATTAAGGTGTTTTTGAGGGTCTAAAAATGCTCAAAACATAATCAAACATGTCACACACGTTTAAAATCCTGAAAGTAGTTATCTGATGTAATTTTAATGTTTCAGAGTGGCAAGTCGGCTCCATAGTGCCCCCTACTAAATTTCGACGATGAAGCCCTCGCAGTACTAGATGTATAAAATTTGGTAAGCAGATGTATCACATGGAGACTTAAAAAAAAGTCTTAGGGGTTCATGCTCTAAACCTCTTCAACGTTTTTCAGGCCAAGGACCCCCAAACTGAGCAGGGACCCCCGACTATATATATTGTATAAAATTGGGTTTTATATTAAACTGGGCCTAGTGCCATGTATAAACATGTATTGTGCATTCAATACCAAGCTATTCAAATAATACACAGGTTCATATATTCATGCTTTCATTTTAAACATGTGCAAGGTACAGTGAGTAGGGTGGCCGTGCCACTGCCATTCATAAACATACCTTGTCAGCTGATACCAATGCCAATATCAATATTGTCTTTCAATTGCATGATAATCATGCACACAAGCTATTCAAATTGATGTTTTCATTTTAAACATCAATGTGGAAACGAAAAATGAATGATGGCCTGTTAGTGCCACTGCCATGCATAAACATACCTGTTATCTTGCATACAATACTGAACTATTAAATAATTAATGAACATGTTTATTTTTATTTTTTTTTACATTGTCTGATGAACCAAAAATTTGGCGGACCCCATAGGGTACACGTGTCAAACTCAAGGCCCGCGGGCCGAATCCGGCCCGCCACGTCATTTTATGTGGCCCGCGAATCCACCAGCAAAAAAACAAAAACAAAAAGTTTTTCTTTTTTTTTTAATTTTGGAAAAAAAAATTTAAGTTGGACTTGAAAATAAAAATATCCCCATGGTCGAAATTATGAGATAGAAAGTTGAAATTATGAGACAGCATGTTGTCTGTGTACCGACATTAAAACTATCACAACAGGTGGACAGGGGAGGGAACAGCCCGTAAAGCTCCAACAAGTGATTGAGTTGAAAAAGATCGACAAATAATCCCAAAATGTCCACGAAGAGAAAAATTGATGCAGAGGGAAGAAGATGTAATTTAAGATGGGAAAGCGAATACATGTCTGTGCTTCAGGGAGAAAAACGGGTCTGTCTTCTGTGTTATGATGCGTGTCGGTGATGAAGGATACAATTCACGTCGGCATTTTGACACCAAACACGGAGCTAAATTTAGCCTCCAAGAAAAACATAAAATTCTCCAAGAATTAAAAGGCAGACTGCAATCACAGCAGAATATATTTACAAAAGCTACAGCCCAGTGCATGCTAAAGGTATGTGAGCAGGTGTGCTCCGACCAGATACAGACTTTTACAAATGTCAGTTTGTGAAGAAACACCATCGCAGACCAAGTTCAGGAACTAGCAGGCAATCTAACAACACAGCTAGCTAAGATACATCATCTATCAATGTTTGTAAGAGGCTCAAGGCAGACTTGACTGTCATTAGTGAGGAGCTCTTGGATGTAGCTGCCATGCACGGGACGACGGCAGTGATACAGAGAGGTGACAAAAATAGCTTTGAACAAAGTTAATGTAATAACTTGTTTGATATTTGTCTGTTATTTTCTTTAAAAGTTTGATCTTTGAGAGAGTAATGTGGGTTTCTTAACCATAAATTAAAATGATTTATGTTATAATAACAGAAATGTGCTTAAATATCATTTTACATTTATATAACCGCATGTACAATATTTTTACACTTGAATAAACAATAATCAAAAGCAGAGACAGTTATTTAACAATATGTTAGGAGTAGTAGTACAGTTATACAGTCTTACAGTTATAACCGGCCCTTTGAGGGAAACCATGATGCTGATGTGGCCCGGAGTGAAAATGAGTTTGACACCCTGCTCTAGGGGGTCTAGGGGGTCTTCAACTCTGTGTTGAAGACCTCTGCTCTAAACCATCGTGGAATTAGGCCATTTTGATTTCTGTGTCAATTGATTTCACAGTTTCATGATGTTTTCATTATAATCTGATGCTTACACTGTTGGAAATTTAGGTTTAGAACTGTGCTTTAAGAAATTATAATAGAAGTGTTCAATGATTCATAATTAAGAAATCATAATTAGAAGTGTTTTGGAATTCATAATTAGAAGATTCATAATTACAGGAGTGTTTTAGAATTTGTAGTTAGAAGTGTATCTTATTAGAATTTGTAGCACCTTTAGATCTATGCTTGTAAAGCTTGTGAAGTTTTTGCCAAAAGTTGCAAATCCTTATCTTTATATGGTATGTTTACCATAGAAGTGTTAAGCCATAAAAGACGGTCATTGAATGTATTAAGCTGAAGAGTAGGCGTAGGGTCAGCCAGCCATTTACAGACAGGCATTTACAGATCACTCCCATGCAAGGGTCCTGGCAAACTGAGGAAGAGTCTGCTGAAGTTAGCCAAAAGGAACTAAGATGGACAATATGGGAGGGGTTTTCAAACTGTGAAGAGGGAGCCAGAGAAAGACTCTGTCTCTTGCTCCTGTACCACCGTGTGGGTGGTAACGCTTTCTGGGGTGAGGCGCGGGTCATATTTTATGGAACTGCAAATAATGTACTTCACTTTGCAATTGTTTTAGCTTCTGTAGAATTAAATACTTGAAAATAATTGAAACCAGCTGACTTTGAAGCAGAGGCCGGACCATGCGGTCTCTCCCACAGTCTCCTTGAACTTAACAACACACCTTTACTCGTTTAAGGTATATTCTCATTCTTTTATGCTCTTATGAGAAGTTTCAGGCTGGGAAGAGGCCAAAAGTGGATTTTGTGAAAGTCAACATATTTTTCAAAGAAAACCTTGGAAACTATGTTTACTTTCACAAAATCAACTTTTGGCCTCCTCTCTGCCTGAAACGTCTTTTAAGACCATAAAAAATGAAAATGCATCTCGAGCCAGTAAAGTGCTGAAAGCTGCAGATATTCATGAAAATGACATCAGACTGAAATAAACTGTCCTGAGGAACTTCTTTGAAGAAAATCTTTGAAACTATGTTTACTTTCACAAAATCAACTTTTGGCCTCCTCTCTGTCTGAAACGTCTTTTAAGACCATAAAAAGTGAAAAAGTATCTCCAGAATCTTTAAAAGTTCTTAAATTCACAGCGTTTGCTGTTTCAAGTTGTGAAAGCAGACACATAGCGCTAATTTACAAAACACATATTAAGCATAAATATTAAGCGTAAAGTGCTGAAAGCTGCAGATATTCATGAAAATGACATCAGACTGAAATAAACTGTCCTGAGGAACTTCTTTGAAGAAAACCTTGGAAACTATGTTTACTTTCACAAAATCAACTTTTGGCCTCCTCTCTGCCTGAAACGTCTTTTAAGACCATAAAAAATGAAAATGCATCTCGAGCCAGTAAAGTGCTGAAAGCTGCAGGTATTCATGAAAATGACATCAGACTGAAATAAACTGTCCTGAGGCACTTATTTGAAGAAAATATTTGAAACTATGTTTACTTTCACAAAATCAACTTTTGGCCTCCTCTCTGCCTGAAACGTCTTTGAAGACCATAAAAAATGAAAATGCATCTCTTGCCAGTAAAGTGCTGAAAGCTGCAGATATTCATGAAAATG